CAGTTCCTCAGGATCAAGATAAATGCCTATTGTCTTCATTACCTATTTCTGAAATTCTTGGTTTTATTAATTTTATTACAATACCCAAAATAAATCACTCTATAAACGGGTTCTTACTTATGAAATGCTCTGAAACCATACAAAATACCACAAAGACCATTGTTCATAGTCTACAAATATAAGAAAGGTTGAATATACCATAGAGTTCTGGAGAAGTGATTTTTTTAATACAGCAAAGACCATCTAGAAAAAGTAGCAAATGAAAACATGAAAGACAAAGTTCAGAAGAAATCGTTAACATGTAGACATACAGAATTACAGTTATTAACTTCTCAACAACTGCAACAATAAAAAAAAATTGATTTTTTCTTCCTCTTGTATAAAATCAAATTAACCCTTTCGATCAGGCTATATATGCTGACACCTATCCTCTTTAAACACATTATCACCTGAAGTGTATTCCTCACTTGCCAATCAAGTATATGCCTTACACGCCAATCAGCTTTTACATAGGCTGCATAAACATACTTGTTAACCAACTTTTGTCTCCCACATATTTTCTCTCTCCAGAGCAACTAGAAGCCATAATACAACTGCTGTTCTCTATTAATACCTCCCAGACCCAAACTATGGGCCAGGTAGTCCTATGTTGTCTCAAAACAGTGCCAGTATTTTATCATTCAAATCACAATTTTTCAAGGCCAAATATTCCAAACAAATTAGGCTCCACCCACTATGCCAATTGCATTTATATCTTATGAAAATATCAGAGGCCCCTGACCTGTTATCACTAGTGATGCAGGCAGCACAGGTTCCTGTTGGTTCTTCACTCTGCTCATAATAATGGGCATCCACATGAGCTTCCTCAGCCTTCTTCTTTAAGATCTCTCCAAATTTATCTTTGCCAATGCACCCAAAGAAAGTTGCAGCTTTGTAAGGGCTCTGAATCATCCACTGCAGATTGACAGGGAAAAAAAAAAAAAAAACAAAAACAAACAACAAAACCCCAAAAAGTTAGCATGCCTGATATTATTTTTTGCCATTTTTTTCTCTCCACTTTCTGTATTTAATTCTGTGCCTACAGAGCACTGTGACATACAGAACACTTCTGTGCCTGAAGTAAAAAACATCTGGTACATCAAGGGAGGGAAGGTCAGCAAAGAATAAAAAATTTACCCTTAGTGATCCCACTGAGTGTTTAATACCTAATGTAAAACTTAAATACACATAGTTCACTATCAAATAAAGTAGATTAGTATGTTTTTACAACATATTTCAAAAGGTATTTCAAAAGAAGTTCCCTTGCTTCGAGGAGATGCCCCTACACTTACATTTAATCAAGCAATGTATATCTTAACGTATATCTTTAAAGAAAATTTGTAGAAAAGAAAAGACAAAATAAAATAAATAAAAAAAAAAACCCAAAAAACAAACTCCAAGAACCAGAGAAATAGCACATAAGGAAAACAATACATTTGAGAAACCTAAGAAGAAACGTTGTGCAACATTCACAATATATACAAAAACTAAATGATACTGAAAATAACCATTTGTGTCTACCATTTAATTACATGCAAAAAAGGAAATGCTCCCCATTTACATTGTTAAACCATGCATGAAAATATCTGTCTCCAACTTTATTAAGAGCAGTTCTATCACTTAAATTGTAAAGGAAGAGCAGTTGCTAAGGTGCCAGGTTATTTCATAAAGCTCTTTTATTAATACAAAATATGTATCATTCAACTGTAAATGTAAGTCCATTTTGTACTAAGTTAAAAAATAGCATTTAGCAGCGAAGTAAAATCAAGAGTGAACTAAAAAAAATAAATGTGAAGAAAATCATAGGCCCTACTCTGCTGGTGGTGAGTCAGTCAGCTGAAGTCATTATAATTCACTCTAATTAGAGTCAGAAAGCTTATCCACTCAATCTATAGTATGAATTAAAGGCTACATCAATTTACTGCTATACTAAAACCCTACTTATAATTGTTTCCTAATCAAGATTTAAATAAACTATAACGTCTCTATTACAAAGCAGCATTCCTGGTAGCTGTAGGTTGTAGAAAGGTCAAGTAACTGAGTCGCAAACACATGCTTAGTCACATCTTTATTACTTCCAGTTCCAGGTAGAAAAAAAAAGGAAAAAAAAAAATCTTTAGTCATGTAAAAGTCTTCATTAATGAGGCAAAAGTGGACAACAGTTGCAAGGCCTCTTTCCTGCAGCAATTTAATATATATAAAGTTTAAGGACAAAAAAGATTGTGTTGTCAGATGGTGGCAGCATTCAATCTCTCATTCATGAAATGCACACTACATATGCTCTGCTAATCTATTCCATATAACTCTAAATTAATATAAATTAAGAAAACCCCTAACAAGAATTATCTATGAAATCCTTGTATTTTACATACATTTGCACACACATAATACACATTTGCACAGTGTTCATTTAGGATGTCTTAGGAACAGTAATCTTTTATATTTGGAGGTATATTTAAGTAGAACAGATTACTTAACAAGACTAATGTTGTGTAAGCAAATATGGAACCAATTTCCACACCAATAACAGAAGTACCTGAAGCCTTGTGTGCCATGTTGAAAAGCATACCTTACCCTCACAAATAACAAGAATTAATAGAGATCACTATGAACAGCATTTATCAAAGCATCAAACCCCAACAATTCTTCAAAAAACATATGACTTCAAACTATACCTTAAGCTTACAACATTTTATCAAATGACATAACTTCTCCATCCTTTATATATAAAGTCTGACAACATTTGGAATAGTAGTAAGTAATATTTCACATACATCTCTGAAAAAAGAATTTCTGTTCAAGTATCACAGTTTTGGCTATTGGCAGCAGCTCAATTTGAATTCAGATGTGATACATGCCATATATAACTGTCACAATCTTACTTTAAGTGTAAGTAAAGTTATTCTTGAGAATCAGAAGTCACGATCTAGGATTTCTTGAGATGAACCTCTGTATATTGTGCAGACCACTTCTTCCATAAGCAGTGGTTCTGCTCATACTCACGATTATTTGAAACACAGGTATTATATGGTGGGGGAATATTCCCACTATATAGATATTCTTTTCATTTGAACATCTGAGCTATGTTAAGCAACACTGAGGAAGATGGAAAAGTAGTTCAGCAGTGTTTCTGGAAAGATCCTCTCATCACAGATCTCCAGTTACAAATACTCCCAGCTACTTGGAATTATCTCCACATATTCCCACAATAATGGTGGTGAGGTCTTGCTAGTTGCAGAACTCCTCCAAACTATTCTTCCTTTACCTCAGCTAAAAGGCTACATATTAGTAAAGGCAAAAAACAGACATCACATTACAAACTTGATGAAACTGAACTATAGAAATACCTCTGTGGTATACCATTGAAGTTGCACCTCGGGGAATGAGTTACAGCAGGCATTTTTTGCATATGTGTTAAAAAAAAAACAAACCTGAAAGAGACAAAAGAACATCTTCACGGTAGACTCTGGAGCACTTTTGAATAACCTGATATGGAAAAAACAGGCTTCTGTGGGCTACTTCACACACCGTTGTTATTAGCAACATTTTGGCTAAAACACTCTAAATGGGAATGGGGGTCAGTCATCACAAGACATTTATCACCATGAAATAGTCATGCAGCATTATATCTAATATCAACTGAAGGCCAATAACAAACTGCACACGTTAATGCCAGGTATATGGTTATGTAAGCTGCAAATTCGTTTTATAGATTCATGCGGAATACAAGATTTAATTGAATGAAAAAGACTTTAGACAGAAACAGAAAATGACCCAGCTCAGCAGGCACCAGCATAATGAGATAATTATCTAGGGTTTGGCTAGGCAGTGAGGCAGTTATTAACTAACTGTATTGACAGTCTGGTCAGGAGAGGTTGGCACCTGGCCACACCATGAATCCTCACCATCACCCAAGGGAATCTGAGGCTGTTAATGGCCCAAAGACAGAAGTGTCAAAAGTAGGAACTTCTCATGAAGGAACAAGACAGCCTCAGGAGGGGGATACCACAAAGGAAACTCAAAATCTAGAGCGGTTTATGAGATCTAATGTGTTTCTCCATCCTAATGTTTTCTTCTGTCAATGCAGCTTGGACATCAGGTACATACAAAGACAGGCCCTGACCTTTTGAGTTGGGATAAGCATCCATGACAGAGGAAGGAGCATGGGAAATAGAACACCTTTCAAATGTTCTCTTGAGTTAAACAGATTGCATTCTCCTTACATTTTTGTTTGTATGCAACCTGGTAAACTAAAACCAAATATTAACTTTCTTTTTAATTTATTTCTTGCCTTCAGCATAAATCTGTTTTAAAATTAGGCTGATTTCAAAAGAAGCATCATCTATTATCAGATTACCCTATCCCTTACAGGCACATTATTCCTTACGATGAAGTACTGAAGCCAGCACTTCCAAAAGAGGCCAGCTCCCTGGCCGCTCAAGGATACACTAGAGAGTGACAGAACACTTCTCTCCTTATTTTCATGAGGCTAACTGGGGCTCACAGTAGTAGGAGTATCTGCTCAAGTGTTTCTTCATGATCGGAGTTAACAGGGTGAACTCTTTGGCATGCTTTAGCTATCAGAGAAGTGTAAGAACCTTTGTGTTCCAGGGAGTGGGTGGCAATTGCAGAGAACAGCATTATCTTTTCTTGCAAGATGTTGAGATGCAAAGAAAACTTGGTAACAAGTAAAACTCCTTAAGACTCAATTGTGACTTTGCGAGACTGCTTGGAATTAACTATGTCCCACTCTTTCACATCCTCAGACTCAAAGATGCGGTACACCTATCTCCCACTTTTGCCTGATTAGAAAACAGCTTTGGAAACAACCTTTTCTCTGAGTTACAGAAGCACTTCTAGAAGCACTTCTTCCAACACTAGAAGGGACCTCACTTTGGCTACTCAATGCTGTCTTTTAAGAACTATATTCAAGATGAGATGACAGAGTTACCTGAATGGTCCCTTACACCCAAAAAATAAAAAAATGCCCCTTCATACTAAGTGAAAGAAAATCAGTGGTCTTAAAGAATTAAAGAACGGGAGAGAACTGAGTTCTTTGATTTTATTTCCCAAGCTTACCCTATTTAGCTTGAGAATGCCATGCTTCTGCCACAGGGGCAGAGTCCAGTATCCCATATCACAACACTTGATCTGTATTCAAAGCTTTTCTTTACTGTTCCTGCAAAGTTCACTGTAGAGGAGGACCTCTACTTGAAAGGCAAAAAGCATCAAAACTAAATACTTGATCTAATTTACCTCACTATCTCCAGTTGCAAAGATCCTTCCCCTGCAAAAGGAGAGTTTGCTACTGCTGGGTCTCAGTACACAATCCCCCAAGACTTAAAAAGAAACATCATATTGTTTAAGCTTAAGACAGCTTTATAGCCCTCTGACTAAAACAAAGATCCTTCAGAAATTATTTCATTTTACTCTGACTCTATGCTTTGCTATAAGTGCCACTGATAGCTGGACAACATCGATAACCAGAACAAGGAGGCTGACGAAGACACTCGCTATCAGTCCCACATTGTTCTCCATCTGAACTCCTCAGCTCCTGAATTCTTTTTCAAAGCTGCAGCCAGTAGTGCATTTCCACATCTGTCAGTCGTCTTAAACTAACAATGCCAAAGCATACGAAGCTTTGCTTAGACTGACATACCTTCTGCACATAGGAGTTTTCAGCTGTAGACTTGAATCCTAAATGCCTAGGAACTGACAACACAACAGGAAGCATTATGCCCCTTCACAGTGAAGGATCTTCAAAACTCATTAACAGTGAATACAGACATCTGAAGTGCATCTGAAGTGCGTTACTTGAAGCTGGACTCTTCTCTGCATGATCTGTCAAATCTGATCTTATTTTAAATTGCAGCTCACAGAGATAAGGACTCCAAAGACCTAAAATAAGCTAAGACTTAACATGCTTTCTAAAATCTAAACTAAACAATGTTAGCAACTACTCATGAAGCATTCTTTTTAGTAAATCAGAACAGAAATGGCTTCTTTTTATACAGTGCTATTTGGAGTATCTCTTATTTTTATATTCTGAATCTTAGAATGAGTCCATATTCTTTTCAGAAGGTTTCACCAGTCTGTTGTACCCCTAGGACATTTCCCATCACCAATTATATACACAGTTCATTAAAAAGCTCTTACAAACATTTTTAGGAATATTTTAGATGCTGAAAGAAAATAAATCACACCTCACCTTAGAAAATCAGATAAAATGAGAAAAAAGTGGGATTAAAAACTAAATCTGATATCTAAATCTTAAAAACAGGAAAACCTGACAATATGCAAAACAATCCTAAAAAAAGACATCAGGGTTACTGTTCGAAGTGAGCTCGCTTATTTCTTGCGAATGATATGATACACCTCAAGCACAACTGGAATGCAATATTCTGTTACCATTACATATACTGTATCATTTAAAATCCCTACCGTGGTAGGTTATCCCAGCCAGCAGCTGAGCCCCCACCCAGTTGCTCTCTCAATCCTCCCTCCTGGCAGGATGGGGGAGAGAATTGGAAGTGCAACAATGAGGAAAAAAAGACGCATGGGTCAAGATGAAATGATACAAAGGCAATCATTCACCACCTCCCACCAGCAGACCGATGCCCAGCCAGTGTCCGAGCAATGGCTGCTTTGGAAAAACTCCCCCTCCCTCCCTGCCCCCAACAGTTTTATTGCTGACTATATTCCTTATGGCCTGGAATATTTCTTTGGTCAGTTGGGGTCAGCTGTTCTGGCTGTGTCCCCTCCCAACCTCTTTCCCACCCCACAGCCTACTTGCTGGGGCAGCAGAGTGAAAAAACAGAGAAGGCCTTGATGCTGTGCAAGCACTGCTCAGCAATAGCTAAAACATTGCTGTGTTAAACGACACTGTTTTGGTGACAAACCTAAAACACAGCACCCTATGGGCTTTCTATGAAGAAAATCAACTCCATCCCAAGCAGACCCAGTATACCTACTCAAGAATGAGTATACTGCATCAAGATCCTGGAAAACAGATGAGATACTATGGTTTTGTTCCAACACCTTTTTTCCTTTTCCTTTTTTTTCATTGATCAACAATTAAAGTTTGCAACAGCTACTATCACATAATGGCCATATAAGAAAAAAATGGAAAAGGAAAAAATACGCTTATCTTTATAAAAGCAGGCTTGCAAAAAAGAGCCCCATGTCCTGTACAGTAATTCTTCCACCATTAGCCAAAGCTGCCAAATCTTGCATAAGGAAGCGATACTGTAAAAACACATGACAACACCCTCAAGCAACTTCCAATCAAATGAGATAAAAGTGATAATTTTTTTAAAGGAAAAGACTAACTAAAGCCTTGCACTGAGACCAATACCTACATCTTACCAGGATTTGGTTCAACACGTACTATCCAAATCTCTGCACAGGAATACCTACTAGTTTTAGTGTGGTACCACAAGTTGCGTTTTGCCATAGCTTTTCAAATTAACATGTCTATCAAAACGTTAATCATCCAGTACTTCATTTAATTCTACATTTAAAAACACAAAGTTAACAAACTGCCTCTTAACAAAATCTATAATCCAAATAACTATTTTCAGTGCTGCTATTCTTTTGTATTCCATTTCCTATTCTTTCCCTCTTGCTCTTCATCTGCTTGTCCACTGTTTTATTTTTAGTCTAGATTGTAAGCTTCTTGCTGTACAAGGAAATACCAGCTTATTTTCTGTAATTAAGCATGTAGTAGTCATATTCCAAAGTTTCAACGTGGCCAAAAGCTAGCTCTCTATTTTATTCTACCCCCTAAATATTGGCCAGTCTAGGCAACTAATTCCAATATTCCTTACTCCATCACCCTCTTATCCTGTATTTATAATGCTACAGTTCTGCCTCAAATATCTGAGGTGTTGCAGCCTCTCTTCTGAAGTTCAACATACATTATCTGAGGCCAAAGGCAGAATGTCTCCTGGAAGACCTTACAAGGAACATAATTGAGACCACAGCTGGCCTTGTGTCCCTTCCCCGTTTGAAGCACAGAACCTGAGACATCGACCACCTCCTTGTTGTTTAACCTGATGTGTCACTCCCTTTCCCTTTCCACAACATTAATGTGGTCCCTTCTCAAAACCAGGTAAAAGATGATACACCTACAAAGCAGGGCTGGTCATGACAGTTCTTCATCACTCAAATGACAGTTATATGAAGGGTGTCACAACGGTAAGAATTCCAGGTTTACTTGGGACTCCTCTGCAGCTGTTTCAGTGTATACAACTGTTTAATAAGAAATTTGCTAATATTACAAAGCTACGTATAAGGTAAGGTTTACGAGTACCTTTATCAGTAAAAGAACTCAAAGATACTAACTTCCTTGTTGAACACTGCGAGAGAAACATGGCAAAGTAGCAAATAACGTACAACAAAAAAAAAGTCTTGTTACTCTGTGGCTAGAAGCTGTGGTGTTAAGCTGTTAATGGAAGCATATTAACAACATGAAACTAGATCATCATACTTGGGTACAGTAAGACAGATTCATTGGGCAACTGTACACTTCTGTTAACCATGCCTCAGCCTATTCTACCTGTAAAGAATTAGCACTCACTTCATGGAGATATAAGGAAGACTGATAAACATTTTAAAAATGCCTTAAAATTCTCCAGTGTAAAATACTGTATATGTATTTTATGTATTTAAGTACTAATCTATAAGTGAGGTTGATATTGTTGCAAAGTGACGTTTTATGATATTTGGCATATGATTTTGCATATCTATAAGCTTAAAACAAATCTTCCTTTTCAAAATGCATGCATATGTCACTCTCACTCCCCTGCTAGATGATGTGCAGTCTCAATGAATACATCTACTCTCAGAATGACAGCAAAAAATCCACCAGTGAAGAGACTTGATTCATTTTCTGGCAGCACTGAATTCATAAAGCACAAACTGTAAACAGCTGCCTATCAGCTTCTATCTGCAATAGTATCAAAAACAGATGGCAAAGGTCAAGTCAAAGTTTATTGACAATGATGAACTTTGACAGCCTCTATTAAATTACTTCTTCCTTTAAGGTGTATGTGATCAAAGCTGCAGCGAGATTTTCACTCAGTCACATAACAAGCTATTTGTTGAGATTGAAACATCTGGTCAATATCTCCTAACACTGCAATTTCATGCACAGTTAGCAACAGGGAGCATTTCTTCTGTTCTTCTTACAGGGTCCATAAGGGTGGCACATATGGCTGATCATTTCATTCAAAAAGGTTTCAATTCCAGGCATTACATACAATTGTCTCTATGCTTTATAGTATTTTAAGTCTACCAACCATCGTTTTCCATCATCACTGCTGTCTGCTCTACTCTTTGCTATAAAAGCCCACTAATATGACAGAGCGCTTAAAGCTTAACAGCTTTTGACTACTGGAGTTAGAAAGCAGCTAAGGGAAGGAAGTTTTTAAAGTGGCAAGTCTTCATCTATCTGTTGTCAAGAATTCCCAGTGCATTAAACTATTTACCAAAGCTCTAGTAACACAGATTATAATTTTTGTTGTAATAGCAAACCCTTCATTTATGAGGCATTCCCGAGCAATTGGAGATCACCCTTTTTACGAATTTATAAATTATTATACATTTTACAAACATAACATACAACATACATTATATTTCAAGTGAACGTGTGATAATTATAAGAACTTGAAGAATCATAATCCTATTTCTCAATCTGAAATAGCAAGAAGACACAAACCTATCCCAAATGCTGAGAAATGCTTGCCTTTAAAATTATGCATCTGTGTTGCCACAGCAACAATTAGTGGATAATGTGAAGTCTACTTCACCCTTCTCTTTCTAAATCCCAATCTTTTTGGTCAAAAGAGAAAGGAAGGCTAGTTGCAAACATGCCTACAGAAAGTACATTTCAAAGAATCTTCAGTTACTATTAAATAATCTCCATTTTTATTCAATTAACATTTGATTTCCACATCTCATTCCCACACTGGCTGAATCCAAGTAGTATCTGAACCTTGAAAGTTTACCTAGTAGTTGTAGGAAGACATTGACTCTAAAACTCCTTAATATAATTATGCATCATGCCCAGATGCTGCACCAAAGGCATAACAGAGTGGTGGGCAGGGAAGGGAGAAGGTAGATAATCTCCATATGGGAAAATCTACAAAATGCTTCAACAGAGATATCCCTCAAAGATGTCACTAAAGATGCCTGGGCTTTTCTGGAGAGTGCGTTGACTTTTGGCACTATGGCATTTACTCAGTAGTACCTCATTGTTCTAAGGAATAGGATATGTAAACTAGATTTAAAAAAAAAAAAAAAAAAAGAGAGAATTGTCCACGAGAAACTGATGGGTTTCATATAAATGTCAAGATATGGCTTACAGGTAAGAGAACATTTTTACAGGTTGTAAACATGAGCCTAAATAAGAGCCTGTCACGCTATGTCACAAAGGCAGACAATCAAGTCAGGAAAGCAACTAATTACCTGTCACTTAGCACTAACAGCACTGGTGTAGAAATTAAGTAGTTAGCCAAATTCTAACTGTTTTTTGATAGGAGTGCAAAGGAGGAAATGTTCCAGGAGCTCCAAACAAGTTCAGAAGTGATGGGATTAGCACTATTAAATTGCAATCTTTTTTCAAATAAACCCACAACAACCCCACCCAGTCCCAAAGGGTGCAAATTCAGCCTAAACCTTATTGCATATGTACAGCAAGGCTTACAGTATTGTGGTGGAGCATTCCATCTAAGC